TTGTTTTGTTATTTTTCTATCCTTTTCCCCTTTTTTGATTTTGAACCATGCTTTTTTAATTCCCCAAGAGAGCCTCAACTGTACCTATGTTTTCAAACCAGTCTGGCTAGTTTAACAAAAGTAGTATTTCAAGGAACAGGTTTAGGAATTTAATGACAGAGCCTTAAATGTATCTTTGTTTTCAGTGTCAAACCAATCTGTGTTCTTATAATAAAAGTTTTATTTCAAAGAGCAGTTAGGAAATTTTTAATAATTGAGCCTTAAGTGTATCTGTTTTCTATGTCTACCAGTCTGTGTTCTTGAATGAAAGAAGTACATCAAAGTGAAGATAAAAGAATTTAGTGATTGAGTCTCAAATGTATTATGTTTTCCTGGTCGTTATTTGTTCTTGGAATGAAAGAAGTATTTTCAAGGAAGTGTAGGATTCTATTACAAACACAGACAAATGTGGTCACCGTGAAAGTAGGGATACTAGATAAAGGTGCCGTGTCGTGTTGGAAATACTACGATGATACTCAGTAATCTGTAACACCATGATGCACGGTGTCAGTGATACTTAGGTTATTATTACATGCCCACTCAGACATATTTAATAAGACTGAAGTACTAATTGCTTTGGGACTTTTTAACATCAAAAAGAGAAAATACTTTTCATAATCTTCAAAACATGTCCTTATGTATATTACTCAAAAGAAAATCGATTCTTTCATATTACTATATAGTTTATCTGTTATGCCATGATTTGAAAGAATCAGGTGTTCTTTAACTTCTTTTGAGTAGTATACATGTGGTAAGAAATTAACCACCATCTCTTCTTTGGTTTCATTCATCCTCATCTTCAATGTATCTTTGAGACATCTAAATATGACATTGATCTCATTTTCATAAATGTGTTAGATACGTGATGCAAAGTTGGTGTAAGAACACTGTTCCTCCAGTTAGTCACAAGGACTAGTTCACATGATATAATGAAACGCTGGTACAAGAACACTCTATGTTCCTCCAGAAGTCACAAGGACAGGTTCACATGATATAATGAAACGCTGGTACAAGAACACTCTATGTTCCTCCAGAAGTCACAAGGACAGGTTCACATGATATAATGAAACGCTGGTACAAGAACACTCTATGTTCCTCCAGAAGTCACAAGTACGTGGCTCACATCATATGATGCAAGGAAACGGAGGAAGCAAAATATGGGATGTCAAATAACTGTTGCCATGGAACCGTTAAAAAGATATCAATGGATAATCAATTTGTTTTCTGTATTTTAATGTCATTATTTCACTTTATAAACCAAAAATTATATTTTCTCAGTTAATGAACACAGGATATGATTTACAAACATGGCTAATTAATATGGAATTCTACAGAACATGGTGCTGTTTGCAGGTGTATATACTTAGTTTGGTATAGATCGATACATGACTTTGCTGCATGATAAATCTATCATGACACACAGTCATTCAAATCGTCAATGCCAAAGCAAAATCAGTCCAGATTATCTACCAAAACAGGTTCCATTGGGCAAACAAGGCACAATAGGGCACCAATTCAGCTCTTAAACAAGATGCAATGTGACTATCGCAGCGCATTAGGAATTATACCAGAACTTACACCTGGCAGTGTGTATTGCCAGTGCTATTTATCATTCATTCCGACAATGCTCACCGATGTATAGATTTCTATAGTAGCTCAATGGTTCCCAACTTTCTGTCATTGCAGATTTAGGCTATGACCAGTAATGTCTGAATAAACACGAGTTACTATTAGCGTCTATTTCCATGTATTTTATATAAGTTTAAATACAGGTCAAGACTGATGATATCTGTTAAAAAATGCAGATTCTGGCTGAAAATAGTAACGAAAGTAACTGAATGCACATGTGCATATTAGTTGAAAAGAATGGAAATGTGATGATATGCTCTCCCTGCATATGTGAAATCACAATGCAGGTAAACTCTTAGTTTGATGTTATTAGCTATGGGATGTCATGGTTGATAAATGGATGAATGAAAATAGGACTTGACTGTCTTCAAATCTTTACAAACAGGGAAATAAAGTTGAGAGGAAAGATACAGCAGAGTGTGGTATTTGTACATGCGGCATAGCATTCCCAGAATGTAGAATAGAAGTAGCTAATGTAAAAAAACACCTCATAAAATGATTTGTTTTTGCATGAAGTCCTTTGATAAGACGTGAATGATTCTTATGGAAAAAAAACCCAAGAGAGTAACAAGCGAGTTAAGTCAGATTTCCTTCTGCATCCAAAAGAAACACTCCTTGTACTGTGTTTTTCATCCTTCATCAGACTCACTTCAAAGAAAACTTTCAAACATTGAAAAAAAATCTTTCAGAGAAATTTATCGAATTATGAAAATATATCTCACACCTGAAACAAACTCACATTATATCATGTTTCATCATGTAATCCTGAGAGGAAGAAGAAGAAGAAGACTTACCTGTCACAAATGATGTGAGAAACACATGCAGAGTGAGGATTATCCCGAGTTTGAAGTGCAGCAACACAATACTACGATCACAGAACATGTTGAAGAACACAATCCAATTTCCAGTGGGAATTTTCTTCAGGTTGTATGTTAGTATTTCCGTCTTGAGCTATCACATGTTTTTTCCATGGCCATGGTGAGAAACACATAGGTTTGTCTCGACATTTTGAACTGATCTCGCACTAGAAGTCTCCCTGATAATCCTGTTGATGTTAGATTGTACACTTAACTTCCTCTGCCGAAGGGAGCTGTACACTACTTACAAGCGCTTCAGAAAAAGTGAAGCGATTGCTATTCCTCCGTAGGATGAACCATCCCGTTCATGTATTGATTTATATCGAAGCGGTGCGAACACTTGAATACTCCAAATTTCTGTCTTTGTTGCCAACTGTCAGCACTGTCCAGAAATTTCACAACTTTTTAAACAGTGGACATTTTTCATAGTAAAAACTGATAATGACATTTGAAGGCATAAATTGCAATCTTTAAAATTTGATTTGTGAGAGCACTCATATATTTGTGATACGTCTGTGCTGATGAAATCGTTTGATGTAAATTGTGCTGAACTTGGAAACAGGATGAACGAATGTGAGACGGAAGTGATAGAGTTAAATAACAACTTTGACCGGTACTGCAGCAGTGAATTATCACAGTCCTAGGACGAGGATCTTCATAAGAGATGGAAACTGGTCACACTGTCCGTCACGTTTGGCATCATCCTGCCGTTGCAATTTAAGCAAATTGCTCTTGAAAATTGCGTGCCTTTCTGTTGTGTGATACTGAGATGAAGTTCCATGGGTAATACGGATCACCTGAAAAGACTCGGACTGATCAAACGTCGGATTATTTCCTGGATCAGTTGCCAAGTCGGATGATGATTCTGTTTGTATAATTCCCGACTGCAAGTCTTCTTAACTTTGAACAGTCATATCAGGTTCGTCAGCTCTACAAAAAATGTTGTCAATGAATTAAAAAATAGCAATTGTTCTCCAGTCACTCAAACAATGAATACCAAATCAAAAGACCCACTGTACTCAAGAAAATTAAAAACCTTCCCTCCTGTCCCCAAACATCAGTGATTGGTTATTTAAGACATCAAGCAAGAGTATGAGTGGTCCTTACAGTAATGAATGGCTAAGTTAGTTCAGCAACGCATTGCGATCACAGTGTGCATGCTGGTCGAGCCATCCCTTGTTGATACTCCCAGCATGGTCAATGAGTTGCTTCCACACCACAGTCGTAGTGGTGTCTGGCCATGTGCTACACAAGTGAGCAGACGAATTGCATGTTTAATTGATGTTCGAACTAGCCAATCGGGTTAGGTTCCCAGTGCTAGCCTATCTTATGCTGGTTTTGTCATCAGAAAAGAATATGACTTTAAGATAATCAATACCATCTATTGACAAGTGTCTGAATTGATTACGAAGCCTTTTACAAATTTGTGTCGATTGGCTAACTTGTGGCTTAGGTGGTAGTGTTAATGCTCCGCCTGCCACACTCCCACGGATTACCAGCTTACTTAGGGTTAAGCTGATTGCTGGGATCAGAACCTCCTCGGCCACAGCCACTTCTTGCCATGCTAGCATCGACACTATATTCACGAGGAGCCGGTATTACGCTGTGCCCTCTTCACATCCGAGTAGCTCACAGCTGGCTTCCAATCATTCAACCCTGCTCCGGACCTACTGAGGAGTACTGGAGAGTTCCTCATAACCTTTCATTTCTCACAATCAGTATCTGTGGCCAAAACAAAGAATCATTTTATTTTCCTTCTGGTTCATTTCCGCAGTGTCTCCTATTGCTTTCTCGTGGTGTGTTTTTGCTTCTTTAAGAGCATCGATAGGTTATACTCGCAGCAGCTGGGCGGTACACAATCTATAGTGAATGGAGGCAGGTTCCGACAACTTGCTCTTCATTCTCTGTCACCGTACTCACATTCTCTATGCATGAGGCTATCAATATTAATACTGTATAGATCAGGTGAAATTGGAATAATGTAGATATCATATAATGTATGCAATATTATGTAACTGAATATTTTGTAAACCTGAGGCTGATTTAGAATTTATTGGTGATAAAGTAATTCAACACCCTCTCTTAGCAAACTAGCTTTGTGTGTGTTGGTTTGTCATTAAAATTATAGCTTGATTTCATCCAAGAAATATAACCTGCATCGCTACAGACTTTTCTTCCCAATTTAGCTGAGATGCTGTGACACAACGGAAATATTTTTCAGAGTGGCATTTAACCCAATTCAATCTCTCTTTCTAGAAAAGACTAGAATGGTAGAAACATGAACAGAGCTGCACAACACAACTAAGTATGATTCCATTTTTGCCCAAAAATTTGGGGACAGATTTGGATATAGAAATGGATCTTGAAATATCCTTCTTTCATATCCTTCTCTTTATGTTAAATGTGGGAAGAAAGACAGATATTTTTTCTGGGATTTGAACTGATGGACAACTCTGCACATTAAGTTGTGGAACTTTAGACTACTGGGACACCCTTGTCCCAGCCCTTGTCCCAGCCCTTGCCCCAGCCCTTGCACCCAGCCCTGGCATCCAGCCCTTGCCCCCAGACCTGGCATCGAGCCCTGGCATCGAGCCCTTGCCCCCAGACCTGGCATCCAGCCCTGGCATCCAGCCCTGGCATCCAGCCCTTGCATCCAGCCCTTGCACCCAGCCCTTGCACCCAGCCCTGGCATCCAGCCCTTGCACCCAGCCCTTGCATCCAGCCCTTGCACCCAGCCCTTGCACCAGCCCTTGCACCCAGCCCTGGCATACAGCCCTTGCACCCAGCCCTTGCACCCAGCCCTTGCACCCAGCCCTGGCATCCAGCCCTTGCACCCAGCCCTTGCACCAGCCCTTGCACCCAGCCCTGGCATCCAGCCCTGGCATCCAGTCCTGGCATCCAGCTCTTGCCTCCAGACCTGGCACCCAGCCCTGGCATCCAGTCCTGGCATCCAGCTCTTGCCTCCAGACCTGGCACCCAGCCCTGGCATCCAGTCCTGGCATCCAGCTCTTGCCTCCAGACCTGGCACCCAGCCCTGGCATCCAGTCCTGGCATCCAGCTCTTGCCTCCAGACCTGGCACCCAGCCCTGGCATCCAGTCCTGGCATCCAGACCTGGCACCCAGCCCTGGCATACAGCCCTTGCCCCCAGACCTGGCATCCAGCCCTTGCACCCACCCCCTGGCATCCAGCCCTTGCACCCAGCCCTTGCCTCCAGACCTGGCACCCAGCCCTGGCATCCAGTCCTGGCATCCAGTCCTGGCATCCAGCTCTTGCCTCCAGACCTGGCACCCAGCCCTGGCATCCAGTCCTGGCATCCAGACCTGGCACCCAGCCCTGGCATCCAGCCCTGGCATCCAGCCCTGGCATACAGCCCTTGCCCCCAGACCTGGCATCCAGCCCTTGCACCCACCCCCTGGCATCCAGCCCTGGCATACAGCCCTTGCCTCCAGACCTGGCACCCAGCCCTGGCATCCAGTCCTGGCATCCAGTCCTGGCATCCAGCTCTTGCCTCCAGACCTGGCACCCAGCCCTGGCATCCAGTCCTGGCATCCAGACCTGGCACCCAGCCCTGGCATCAAGCCCTGGCATCCAGCCCTGGCATACAGCCCTTGCCCCCAGACCTGGCATCCAGCCCTTGCACCCACCCCTGGCATCCAGCCCTTGCGCCCAGCTCTTGCATCCAGCCCTTGCATCCAGCCCTGGCATCCAGCCCTTGCACCCAGTCCTGGCATCCAGCCTTGGCACCCAGCCTTGTCCCCAGCCCTTCACCATAGCCCTTGTCCCCAGCCCTTGCACTAGCCCTAGCCCTAGCCCTGGCCCTTGTCCCAGGCCTTGTCCCCAGCCATTGTCTCCAGCCCATCCCCAGAGCCCTTGCACTAGCCCTAGTCCTAGCCCTTGTCCCAGGCCTTGTCCCCAGCCTTTGTCCCGGCCCTTGTCCCAGCCCTTGTCCAAAACCTTGACTCCAGCATTTGTATCCAGGCCTTGTCCCCAGCCCTTGTCTCCAGCCCTTGCCCATATCCCTTGTTCCCAGCCCTTGCACTAGCCCTAGCCCTTGCCCCAGCCCTTGTCCCAGGCCTTGTCCCCAGCCTTTGTCCCGGCCCTTGTCCCAGCCCTTGTCCAAAACCTTGACTCCAGCATTTGTATCCCGCCCTTGTCCCCAGCCCTTGTCTCCAGCCCTTGCCCATATCCCTTGTTCCCAGCCCTTGCACTAGCCCTAGCCCTTGCCCTTGCCCCAGCCCTTGTCTCCAGCCTTTGTCCCCAGCCCTTGTCCCAGGCCTTTGCTTCAGACATTGTCCAAGCCCTTGTCCCAGCCCTTGCCCCATGGTCTTGCCTCTGCCCTTACCCAAAGCCCTTGCTCCCACCTGTTCCCCAAGTCTTTGACACAGCCCATCTAGATAATTCAAGTCGAATGTAAATAGTGATGTTGTATGAATTCATTTAATTCCTTTGATTGTTTTAACCAGTAAGAGGGGCGATGGGGTAGCCTAGTGGTTAAAGCATTTGCTCATCACGCCGAAGAACCGGGTATTGATTCAATACTTGGGTACAATGTGTGAAGCTCATTTCTGGTGTCCCCTGCCATGATATTGCTGGAATAGTGCTAAAAGTGGTGTAAAAACATACTCACTCACTCATCATGGAACATTTCTAGTTCTCCTATGATCCCTACAATTATAATTTTAGGGCCCATGGGAGGATGCATATTAGTATGTTAGGGCCCATGTGACAATGATAAATACCCCTTAAGATCAAGATGGTTTTCCATTGGATTTGAAATTAAGGATATTGTGGACAAGGCACTCCATATGTGTGAAGTGAGTGAGTTTGGTATACATATACATGTATACCGTATTCGACGTAATAAGTGCCCCACTCTAATAAGCGCCCACGGCAATATTTGCTAATATATTGGCTAGTGAACAATCCAAATTAGCACCCTTCCGACTGATCAATGTACACAGGACTTATTTATTCTTGTATAATACGCACTCATGTGTTATATGCACCCTTAATTACAGGCAATTAAATTCTGGAAAAATATATCTGTCGTGTATAATAGGCACAGACTTTTCTTTTGTATCATTTCAGGCTGTCAGCATAAACCACAAAATTTACGATCTCTCAACACTTTCACCAAAATTATATTTTAATAAGAGCCCCCTATTTCTAATTTTGAGAGCACCCTGGGCGCTTATTACGTCAAATACGGTATAATGATTATTGTTTAATGTGCATAACTATTGATTAAATTTTGATCATTTTTATGTACTAAACAAAGTGGTCTAAGGATACGAGAAATCAATTTTAGCTGACATGTTTGCATTATCAAACCAAGTAAGGTGTAATAACATGAGTGATATTAAAATAGATTAAATTTTATATTATCTGTCTAAAGATTGGTTAGATAAAATTGTCATTTGCTTGATTTTAGACAAAGATCTTTAGGACCCAAAACTCACTGTGCAGGATTGTGTCCCTTAGGAATGCAAGGATCCTATGATGGTGGTTTGAGTCCCAGAATCACCCTGATTAGGATCTCTTGGTTGTTAGCTCCATACCCATGTTCGTGGTGAACGTCTATGACCTGCATCACATTGGGTTTTCAACCAACGTTAAGCTGATAGAACTGTCATTGAGTACAATTTTTTAAAGACAAATTTCTCGCTCACAAGAAAGTATTGATTGTATTCCAAACATTAACAAATCTAAACCTTCATTTAGTTCAGCACAGTGAAGTTATTTCCAGAGTATGTTTGTGTGTTAAGCTATTTTGTCTGAGTCAGGTTGTGTGAAGTCCAAGAAAAACACTCAGGTTCCAGCACTCCCAAGCATCAAAGGACATACATACGAAATAACCTTTTCTCCGATTATTTTTCTAAATTACCTTAATAAGAAAACACAACAATTACTTATAGGCACTATGTACACAGATATCTCATTTAATATATTTCTTCATTTACATGATGAAACATGGAAAAAACGGTTTTGTCATTTGTGCAAAATGGTTGTGTTTGTTGAAGCAAAAATGTGGCAGATGTTTCGGATGTTTTCAGTGACAACTGAATTCTGTAGTTGTGTACTGTGAGACCCAGCATCACAGACTTGCCATGTAAATGGCATCCGTTCCACTGTAACCCAGTTGCATGTCTCTTGGTTGAGGGACTGCAGTTTGCTCTGAAGAGTTGCTTCCCTTAGGCTTGCCAGTTTGTATAGTGTGTGGGTTCGAATCCCAGATTCACCTTGTTTAAATACTGTAAATCTGGAAATTAATGCGTCTGCAAGTTAATACAACTGCTGACCCCTAGCCCAAAATGCGACTCAATATCAATGCGACTCCCCTCACCCCATCGCCAGTGGAATGATACATACATATCCTAGCCTCAATCCAATCACACAGCCAAAAGTGCCGCTTATTAACGCTGAGTAGAGCACTTCCGTAAAAACAATAAACAGTCTTTTCCAAAAAATAACACACAGTTTATATGTTTACTCTGTTGACTGGCATTAAGGAAGTTCAAAGGCAATAATATAATTGAGCCAACAGCAGATCACTGATTGGTATGCGGAGAAGGTGTCAACAAGCGTGACACGAGTGGGTAGAACTCTTGACCCAAGCAGTGATAACTAACCGAATGCCCATTGTGTAATTCCTAGTCTTTGAATGACATTGTTATATATATACTTGTTACAACTGCTGCTCAATAAACTGTGTTCATGTTTATATTCAAATTGGTATTTCCGCTATCCAAAGTGTGCAGTGAGGCCGTCTTATTGCTGATTGTCATTAAGTCATTAAGTAAATTAATGCTAGCAAAGACCACTCACATTTTTTGCATTTAATTCACTTCAGGCCTCTCGACCCGTGAAGATCCGGGTTAGAATAGGTCCTCAGTATCCCAAGCTTGCTGTAAAAGGCGACTATGCTTGTCATAAGAGGCGAATAACGGGATCGGGTGGTCAGGCTCGCTGACTTGGTGGATGCATGACATGGTATCCCAATTGCATAGATCAATGCTCATGATGTCAATCACTGGATTGTCTGGTCCAGACTTGATTATTTACAGACCACCATCATATAGCTTGAATATTGCTGAGAACAGCGTTGAACAACAAACAAACAAACAAACAAAACTCCCACATGAACTGATACTAAAATACTGTTCAAAACAGTGTCCCTCTCACTAACTCTTATGGATCGAATGTTTTCAGAGATGGCCAAGTGTGTTGTGATATACTATGGGGATCCCCAGGCCTATAGGCTTCCATGTATCTAGCATCAGTTTCGTTGTGAGATTAAAAATCATTTCGCTATCACATGTAATAATGGACAGAAACATAATCAATACCAAAGTCATCCTCAGTTCTCTCAAACTTGGTTCCTTTTACAACTGTTGGATTAAATGTCATCAACAAGAGAGACTGGCTTTGTTAATATTTCAAACACGATCTTTGGATGGCATTTAGAAGTGAGACATGTTACTAATCACAACTTCAACTTGTAATATAGAAGTTGACCACGCATACTATCTTGTCATGAATTCAAAACCAACTGCACGAACTAAACAAAACATGTTCACTCATATTCAGGGCGGTCAGGTAGCCTAGTGGTTAAAGCGTTCCCATGTCACGCTGAAAACCAGGTTTGATTTCCGAAATGGGTACAATGTGTGAAGCTCATTTCTGGTGTCCCCTGCCATGATATTGCTGGAATATTGCTAAATGAGGCGTAAAATCAAACTCACTCACTCACTCACTCACTCACTCACTCACTCACTCACTCACTCACTCACTCACTCACTCACTCACTCACTCACTCACTCACTCACTCACTCCCTATTCAAGTAAAGTAAGTGAATGTTGTTATATTGCAGCTTTTTCATTACGGCCTGTAAATAATTAAAGTGGGTGAGTTGTGTTTAACGCCACTTTTAACATTATTCCAGTTATATCACAGCATGTCAGCTTAATGTGGGAGGATAGCCCGAAGTGATGCAGGTCTCGGACGTTTACCACTTCGGTGAAACCCACAAGCATGGGTATGGTGCTGACAAATCAAGAAACATAATCGGGGCAAACCGGGATTCGAACCCACATTCATAGGTTTCTGGCATGCCCGTAAATAATTAAAACAAGGCCAGGCAAACTAGTGGTTGATAGCTTGAGCAACAATGTATTACTTTTGAAAATGATATCAGCAATGTCACAAACTCATTTCTCATGATTATGTTTTTAATTGCTGGTCCAGATTTAGTCCAGACTCTATATAGTACAGGCCACATTGATCCAGTTGGAATATTGCTTACTGCCGCATTAAACAACACACAACGCATGGCTCAATACAGATTGGAAGCATGTTCTCTGATCCAATATGTTGTCCATTTTATGTATGTCATGTGTTTAAAATTATAATCTCAGCAAAAATAAGACTATGCCATCTTACATTTTCCTATCTCATTTCAAATATCCTTCCTTAATTGTCACTGTGATAGGTAATTTTACCCAAGAAGTATGGCACAGAAAATATGTATAAGCCATCCAGATGTTGCTGCTAGTCTTCTGACATGATTGTACTGCA